CCCAGCTCCTTCCCTCCTCCATGTGGTGGATTCCAGCTGTTTTGGACTACACCTCCCAATCCGTAGGGCTCATGGTCAAGAGGGATGGGAATTGTAATCGAAAACATCTGAAGCACAGAGAGCCATGGTTCCCAACCTTGCCCCCCCAGGTGTGCTTGAACTAAAACTCCCAGAAACCTTGTGATTTCTGGGAGTTGTAGTCCAAGAACACCCAGGGACCCAACCACAGAGAGAGGCAATAAGGAGCTGGATGAGCTGATAAAAAGTCTTCCGAGAATTCCCCAGGAGATTTTGGGGAGTTTTTGCTCACAGACCACACTTACAGAGACCTACATTTTACTCACCTGGATGGACCAGGGCCTAATGTCAGGCCTTGCTTCCTGTCTCTGGCCTGCCTCTGAGGCAAAAAAATAAGGAAACGGCGACAGCGTTTCCTGGGAATTGTAGCCCTTTAGGAGCCCTTCCTGCCCTTTAGGCTCTTATAAAGGGCTCCTCCCCAAAAGCTTATCACTTCCAGGAAGCACCGTAATGGCTTCCTTTTTGGAACAAGGAGGTAAAAGGCCGAGCTAGGCCCTCGCCCAGGTGAGCCAAAGGTCAGTGTAGGTCTAGGGATTGGAAATCCCAGAATTCTGGGCACCAGAGTCGAAACACCACCAGATTAAAGGGCACATCCTTAGCCAATAGATCACACGCTACAAAACATACCATGTCGGGGACACACGTTACCTGCCTAGGAGTAAAAAGGTTTTGGCCAAAATGGCAGCTGCTGGCCATATGGAGCCCTGCCCTATGGTTGAGGCCATCAGCACACCAGTGCCACGGGAGGCAAAAACATCCATGGGGGGGGGAATCAAATTGCACCCTGGGGAGTCTACAGATTACGATTAAAAAAAGACGGAAGTGGGTTTCTGACCACTTCTGGATTTGGTGGAAGGGGGAAGAGTGGGGCACAATAGCTGCTGATATACAAAACAGATCCCTCAATGCAAGCTGATCCCACGCCAGGGAAGTCTTCCCTTTAAATACCAGTTGTGCGTGTTTTTAACATATCCGCAGCAGCAACCGGCCTATGACGCCAGAAGCTTGTCTTCAGACAGCTTTTATGGGGCCCTCATTCCCCGAGCGGGTGGGGCCCAAGGGAAAAGGAGCCCCCCCCCCAATACCAGCCTATTCCAAATTAAGGTGTTTCCGAGCTTTTTATGAGAGGCAATGAATGTGTTAGAACAGGGGAGGAATCTATGAAAGAGCGGTTAACTGCCCAACGATGGATGTCACCGGGGAGAGAGGATGGGGGACACCGGCGGTAAGATGGGGTGGACCCGATTCTGCCCCAGGGCATTAATGATGTAAAGAGAGGGAGCATTAAAAAAAAAACAGACACTTCTCACTCTTAGGTTCTGGGCTACACTGGCGTAATACGGTGAATCAAGCTGGCATTTTACTTTCCTGCACTGAGTAACACGGAGGTGTGCCTTCATGCATGGGGCAGGTGGAGGCGGAAAGTGCTGCCCCCACCCGGGCAGGGGCTGCCAGGCTAGGAAGGGACCTGCCCAGAAATCTGCCCACTGGCCCGTTCCTTACCTTCCAGTCTCTGTTCTGAGGCTGAAGGGGACAGAGGGGCCTCTCCTTGCTTCCGGGCAGGATATGTTCCGGAGGGGTGCAGTCGATCTGCTCCATTTCCACGCTTTTCTTCTTCCGCTTCCCGCTCTCTACAGCGAAAACACAGGAACAGGATGAAAAGGGGGGGTGTCAAAGGGGAACCCCAGCAAGCCAGCCCGGGAGGCGCGAGAAAGGGCGCCCCATTTTCCCAAGCAGGCTCTCCTCACTTCTGTTAGCGAGAAGGATGAGGACTAGATCCTTGTTTCCTGAGACCGAAAAAAAAAAAGCATGCTGTGATTCTCAGTGATCTGGATCAGCTGCCGAAAGGGTCAAGGTTAGCTCTAAGCCAGGGACTCGGTTAGGTCTGGCTGGACCAGGGGCTTGGCAAATCACAGCAAACAAAAAATAATAATAAAACAGGACACTTCCCGTTCATCTATTTTTTTGGGGGGGGGTTGGAACAAGGCATTTGGGGAACGGTGAAATCCACAGCCGTTCTTGGAGGGAGCCGAAAATGGCCTCTTGGTCCTTAACCACCGGCCCACCCAGGTTTTACAACAAGAGTTGAGAGCTGTCGGGAGTTTGAATCCGTTCAAAGCTACCTCCTTCTTTTTAAAATATATATACATATATTAAGACGAGGCCCCATTTTGGTGGTTGGGTGCGTTACCTCCGAGGTCCCCTTCCGTGAAGACGCTGAGAAACGACAGCGAGTTGCAGTCGACCCCGTTGAAGGCGTCCGAGGGATCGAGGCTCTTCAAAAGGTCTCGGATGTGACGGACGTGGATCCTGGCTTCCCGGACTGTGTACGGCTCTGGGATAAAGGGGGAGGGGGAAGAAGAGGCAGCCATCAGACGTGAGCACGCCGGACCGCTTGGGCAGAAACGAGCCGCGTCAAGATGGCTGCAGAACCGCCGAGAAGATCCAACGCGTCCAGTTTACAAAATCAGTCGCCACGGCTGAGAGCTTTGGCGGCAACGAGGGGTTCGGAGGCTGGAAAGCGAGACGCGGTGAAGTCTTAGGCTCCCTGAACAACGTTTTTGGGAAGCGGGGAAGCGATATTCCCTGTCTCCCACCCTATTTATTTTTATTTATTTATTTATATCAGCTGCCGGTCAGTTTCCAGGCGCGGTGGCTTCCCGGACTGTGTACGGCTCTGGGACAAAGGGGGAGGGGGAAGAAGAGGCAGCGTTGAGTGGGGACGTGGCCAGCAGTGCCTTTGCACAGTTAAAGTTAGTGTGCTAGCTGTGTCCGTTTCTTGAGAGGTCTGATCTGACCACGGTGACACATGCTCTAGTTAGATCTCAGTTGGATTACTGTAATGCAGGCTACAAGGGGCTGCCTTTGGAAAGTGTTTGGAAACTTCAAAGGGTCTAAAATTCCACCACCAGATTATTATCTGGGGCTGGTTATAAGGAACATAAAACTCCCCTGTAACAGTTACTGGCTGCTGATCCATTTCCAGGCACAATTCGAAGTGCTGGTTTTAACCTACAAAACCCTAAATGATTCGACTCTATGAGCCAGCAGCTTGGGGGTTAAAGGTCATCCGAAAGGGCCTTCCTCTTGGTACCCTCAACCTCACGGGTGCATTGAGTGGGGAAACGGGAGAGCAGGGCCTTTCTCGGCGGCTGCTCCCAGAGACTCTGGAACTCCCTGCCACCAGAGGCCAGGCTGGTGTTCATCTTTGCTCTCCTTCCCCGAGCGACCGGCTGCCTGAGTGGGGTTTTTAAACAGACGGGGGTGTGCCTTGTTGCTTTGAACCTGTTTTTGCTGTTGCTTTCGTTTACCGTTCCTCAAGACTGGTATTCGTTTGATCCTTTTAAAATATTTGCATACGGACTACAGTTAGCTTTCAATCCCGTCGGTGAACGATGTAAGCCAGCTTGCGGTCATTTTAGAGGAGAAAGACAAGGCAAAAATATTTTAAATACCTAATCCACTATATTAGGTATTTTTATTTGTGATCTTCTTTGTATGTGTGTTTAATGGCTGAACTCCGATAGAGGGCAGGGCTGGAAAATCAACACGCACATCGAACCACCAAAGACCCACCCTTGACAAAAGGGGCCTCTTACCAAGGGGGGGGGGGAAGAGGTGCCCTGCAGACTTCCGGAGGAGGGCCCACCGGACATCTAGTTCCCGACCCTGCTTTACGGGACGTGCAGCTACCTCCACAGGTCTGCCCGGAGTCAATCCCGTCGGTGAACGATGTAAGCCACCTTGCGTCATTTTAGAGGAGAAAGACAAGGTAAAAATATTCTAAATACCTAATCCACTATATTAGGTATTTTCATTTGTGATCTTATTTGTATGTGTGTTTAATGGCTGAACTCCGATAGAGGGCAGGGCTGGAAAATCAACACGCACATCGAACCACCAAAGACCCACCCTTGACAAAAGGGGCCTCTTACCAAGGGGGGGGGGAGAGGTGCTCTGCAGACTTCTGTCCTCTCCCATTTTAGAGTCTAGTTCCCGACCCTGCTTTACGGGACGTGCAGCTACCTCCACAGGTCTGCCCGGAGTGTCCTCTCCCATTTTAGAGGACCCCCCCTCCGTCCCCGCCCCACCCCGGCTGGGCGGCTTTTCCCACGTTTTACCTTCGACGACTTTTAACACCGAATCTTCTTGGAGGCCTTCGATGGTCTTCAGCTCGGCAAAATTGTCCAGGACGTTGCCGTCCAGCTGGAGGGAGAAGCACGTCCGGTGGCAGGTGTCCTCCCGGTCCATCAACACCTGGTGGATCTCCTGGACCATCTCTTGCGGGGAAACCTGGGCAGGAAACAGGAGACACATTTATGGCCTTTTGAGCCAGGGCTTCACCTGGGAGCATCGGGAAGGAAGAAGTACAGAAGGGCCACAGGGGATCAGTATCCGCGTTTCACTTATCCGCTGAAAAATATTAAATAATAATATTTAAAAATCCAGAAATGTGCATTTCCAAGGTCTATTACAAGAAGTAGCCACTAGAGGGAAGCAGAGACTACGCTATATACTGGTTTTTTATATCCGCGCTTTTCGGCATCCACGGCAGGAGAGGGAGGCTTGGAATAATCTCTCACCGATATTGCAGTCCGGCTGTAACTCTGTGCCAGGAGGACGCATGCTCTCTTCCCCTACGGTCTACTCTTGACAGCCAACTTCAAGCAGAGGGACGCAAGACGTACCCCCCCCAATCACTGCAAGGTGATCTTTTTAACACAGGGTGGGGATCTCCTCTGGCCGTCCCTTGGATGGGACCCCATCGTTTGGTAGCTTCCCAGCTTTGGAAGGGGGAATCTCCATTTCTAAAAAAAAGGGCCAACCACTTCTTGTAACATTTGCTTACTGGAAGGAAGGGAGTGAAACCCCAACATGCTGGCATGGTAGCCCCCACTCTTTTGCCTCTCATCTGCTCTGAGAGCATGTCCCCCCCCCGAACTTCTCTGAAACTGGGTCTGGCCCTGAGGTTCAAAGAGATCCCCGTCGCGTGGCCTCAACCGGAGACGTCTAGGGTTGAACCCAAACCCGTCTTCTTGCATTTGAACATAGAGGTTGTTTGCCTGCCATTCCCCTGCCGTCTGATTGCTGCAAAGCTTTGGAGCCCCTACGGCCCAACTATACCGGAAAATATTTCAGTCTTACAGGGAGGGTTGCACAGAGGAGGGAACCTGCATAAACCAATGTGGGCTCAGGGTCCCAGAGCCCCTCCGACACATACTTCTTGCAAAGCAAGGTGGATAAAAATCATGATTTAAATTTTAAAAATAGTGGTTTTTTCCTCCCTGGACAAAGGGCAGAATCCAGACTGAACAGGATGAGCGACCACGATCCGAGACGATTTACAGTAAGCTGATGGAAAAGCAGGACACTCGGCTAATCTCCTCCTATTTTAGAACTAGCAGCCACAGCGTTTGAAAAGAACCAGGGTTATTTTCCCTACGTTCAACCATTCACAAGTGCTATTCTTAAATCATTTTATTTAAATTACTTATATGCTGCCTTTCTCCCCAATGCACCTCCCAACAAGTAAAAATAAGAAATTTTTAAATACTATATAAATACCACATTTTAAAAAGAATTAAACATAAAGATTTTTTTTTTTAAAAATTCAAGTTAAAAACCAGCACTCCTGAGATGGGTTTTTACATTAGTGATCTTGCAAATATTATGTTTAATATTAATATAATTACTTTTATATTAGTGATCTTTCAAATATTATGTTTAATTGCATGTATTAATATTATTACTTTTACATCTTGCAAATCTTGCAAATATTATGTTTAATTGCATGCATTAATATTATTACTTTTACACTAGTGATTTTGCAAATTTTATGTTTAATTGAATGCATTAATATTATTACTTGTGCACCCTGCATTCTGTTTTTAAATTTCAGTCATTGTATATATAAGCTGACTTGGATCCCTGAATAGAGAGAAAGGTGGGACACAATGAATTACATTTAATTAATTAATTAAACAAACAAGCAACTCGTGAATTTTTGCACCAGGAGGCTCCTGGATTTCATTGGTTAACCCATTTGCCAAACGACAAATTTTGTTACTGTATTTTCTTTCGATTTGCCATTCAGAAAACTTGCAAACCCTCTGAGGTCCTCCCTCCCCCCGCCCGTAGACCCAAACAAAACAGATGCATAAATAAGTTAATTAACTAAAGAAACGGTGAGGGAGCAGGGAGGAAGATGCTTCCTCTGAAAACATACATCCGAACACCCACCCCCTTGCCCCAGGCTCCCTTTTTTTTTTACTAGAATGAGAGGCATTCCAGCCAATTAGATGACAGTTCTTATACAGGCACAGGAAACGGCTTTGCACAGGATAAGGCCCTTGGTCCACCCAACCCTTTCTTGATGACCGGCAGCAATGGCTCTCCCGAGGTTTAAAATAAGCTTCTTACCCAGACCTCATCTGGAGTGTTTTGGTGGTCTACTACTAGGCATTTGACTTTAGGAATTTGCGGGCTACGGCTCCCGGAAATTTCTAGGACTTCTCCCAGTCTCCCAGGGACCTTAGCCAAGACCACCCAAGTCCTTCCCAGGGTCTGTTGTCACTTTCTGTTGGGAAATAACGGCTTCTCTCAAACCTGTTGCAGATGGAGGAAGTGGCTTAGTTGGGGCAAACTCTCTGGGACCTTCAAGGCATTACGGGCCTAGTAGGTTTTCTGAGAGGCAACTCTGTACGGCGCATAATAGGCAGGGAGACTATCAGACCTGTCATGCCTTACAGCTCCCGTAGAACGTCCATCTTTATCCCATCCTAGGAAAGCCATTCTTTCACTGCCGAAAGCCCTCATAAACACCTGCAAGGACTAAAGGGTTTGGGGGTCTTGTTTGAAATGCCGCCCCTCACCTGCAACGGGAAGGGCTCCACCCCCGGCGCGTGGATTTTGACGGTGAAGCCGGTGTCCTGGATGACGATGACCTCGTGGTCGTTCCCCTCCTCCGCGGGGGCCGGCTCCTCGTGACCGTTCTCCCTGGTCTCATCCTTGTGGTTCTCGTGCAAGCCATTGCCGTTCATCAGGGCTACGCTGGGCGGGTCTTCCGGGGGGGGGGGGAGAAGAAAAGGCCCAAAAATGTAAGAATAACGAATGAGTTTTCGAGCTGGCTGGAGACGTCAACATTTGGGCATTTACAGTTTACAGTGGATTTCCTAGGGATCTCCAGATCTTGGTGGGGGGTGTCCATCCAGAAAAGACGAACATGCGGTGTAGAAACTCCGAAGTTTTGAGGAGAGAGTCTTCTTTCAAAGTAACCCTCCTCCACTATTTTCAAACACCCCACAAGGGTGGAAATAGGTAACCTATATAATTAAAGTTATAAACCGCCCAGAGCATGCTTTAAGTGCGATGCGGCAGCATATAAGAAACACACATTGCTTTGTATGACCTTTGTATGAAGGACAGGTATTTAAATTAGGGTTTACAAACGTTCCTAACCTGTTCTGAATGAATGCTGACATTTGAGATTTTTTAAAAAAACTGTTTTTCCAACCTGCATGTAAAGAATATTCTTAATGATTTTATATACGCATTGCAATGGTAGACGAAAATATTTTTAATAAACAACAATCATACACTCACTAGCCATACAACAAACGCTATTTCTCGCCCTCTCTTATGGTTTTCTCCGATGAAACCCCGCCCACCTTTTTATCCATGCAACCATTCAATGGCCAGAATCCTATCGATCGGTTAATCAGGCAGAAGCGCCAACGATGTTTAGCCGTAGGGCTGAACTGTAGCTGGTTAACAAGCAGCCGCTCGGACCCCTCGTCACCCAACGAGCCTGTGGCAAGGAACATAAACAGCAACGTGTAACCAACGACAATTTGCCCCTGCAGTTTACGCCAGTGCACTTCAACTGGCGTAACTAACCAACAGGATTCTGGCCGACTGTATTTACCAACCTTGGAAAAATACTGCTGGACGGACAAGATATAAGAAGACATATCTACTGATCTATAACCCTGCTGTTCCTCATAGGCGGTGTCGGGACTGGGAACACTGCTGACTATTGTTGGCCCACCCCGACCTGGCACCGGCAAATGGGATTTGTAGTCCAAGCCGATCTGCAGGACATCGGGGTGCGTGGACACACAGACATACATCATCTCTTCTCTGACACAGCACAAGCCTCAGAGAGCCAGCTTGTTGTCTCCTCCTACAAAAAGCTCCCTCAGGGGCGTGAATCGCCAGCTGGAGGTGCCCCTCGCCATAGGGCACCCGTGTGGCGACAGAGGGCCCAGCCATCGGCTTTCACCTAGATTATTATTAGCCTGGGGGGCCCCCTATTTCGGAATTCCCCCAAATCCCCATCAGCATGGGTCAAAGGTGGGGGATTCTTGGATCTGTAGTCTTCCACTCTCTGGAGATCCCCCCCACGGATTGACAGTCGCTAAAAACTGGACTGCAAATTTCAGCTGGGTTCAGCCTCCCAGACTCTTTTTTAAAAAAACTTGGGTGTTTCCTAAAACAGACGTCCTGCCTTATCTTCCTTTCCTCTCCCCTCCCGAGCGACGCCCTTTTTAATGCCTCCGGGGCTACTCCTCTCGGGAGGGGGGAAAAATAAGGGCAGCCGAGGAAAAGAAGCCACAGAACTATGCGGTGGCCAGGGATCGCTTGATCTTGGTGAAAAACCACTGAGAAACAGATGTGGGCCCCACCACCAAGCCCCAGGCACCTCTACCCGGTACTCCTGCTGAGACTGGCTGACTGCACAAATCCTGCTACCCTGTCTCCTCATGGAACTGCAGGGCAATAAAATAAAATAAAATACTGCTTCTCCTGGCAAGGCACTCTGGGGTTCCAGAACGGGACCCGGAAACGTTCTGCTTGCCCAGAACTCTGATTCCGCCAGAGGTCAGCGAGAAATCGGGGGGGGGGACCTACTGTATTTTTCGCTCCATAAGACGCACCTTTCCATAAGACGCAACAATTTTTTAGGAGAAGGAAACAGGAAAATATAATCTGTTTTCTTCGCTCCATAAGACGCACAGACTTTCCACCCCCGTTTTGTGGGGGGAAAGTGCATCTTATGGTGCGAAAAATACGGTAATACTTTGGAAGGTAGGGAAAAAAAGTTCAAATGGATCTCGATAGGGTTGAGGTGCTGGGCAGAAAGCAGCAGAATTAAATTTAACAGGGATAAGGACAAAACGCTACATACGGATTTAAAAAAAACCCAAACGCAGAGATACAAGATGGGGGACACTTGGTTCAGCAATACGACGAGCGAGAAGGATCTTGGAGTTGTTGTAGATCACAAGCCAACAGTGTGATGTGGCTTCAAAAAAGGCCAATACTATTCTAGGCTGCATTAACAGTAGTCTCCAAATCCCGCGAGGGGCTAGCCCCCCTCTATTTGACCGTGGTTCCGCCTCCCCTTGAGTCCTGTGTCCAGTTCTGGACACCACCCCTTAAGCACGATGCTAATAAACTGGAGAGCAACGAGGATGATCAGGGGTCTGGAAATTAAGCCCTGTGACAGACAGGTGATGTTATGTCTGCCCGTTACAAGCCCCATGACTAACAGGATGATCAGGGGTCTGGAAATTAAGCCCCATGACTAAACATTGCAAGAACTGGGCATGTTTAACCTTGAGAAAAGAAGATTAAGGAAAGATAGGATAGTACTATTCAAATATTTGAAAGGCTGTAGTACAGAGGAGGGGCAGGATCTGTTCTCCATCATCCCAGCGTGCGGGACGCGCAGGAATTGGGCTCAAGTGACAGGAAGCCAGATTTAGGCTGAATATCAGGGGGAAAAACTTCTTAACTGCTAGAACAGTACGACAGTGGAACCAGTTTTTATTGGGAGCTGATGAGCATTCCAGAAAAACTTGGGGCAACCCTCTGCCAGATCTGCTCTCATTTCTGTTCTTGCACTACCGAGCAGGGGGGCTGGACTTGATGGCCTTCGAGGCCCCGATCCAACTCCCTGATTCTAGGATTCTATGAAATCTTCCGTCAGCCCAAACTCAGGAGAAAGGGGCAGATGGTCACATCTTGGGGCGGGTTTTCAAAAAGGGATTTAAAGACATCACAATTGTTTTGATTTTTAGGGTCTTTTGGAGGTATTAAAAAGAATAGTTTGGCATGGGAAGGGTATCAAAATTTGTAAGCAGTGGGGCAAAACTGTAGGCTGATAAATTTTACACACACACACACACCCCTAAAAACCCTCCATGAAACCCAATGGGGTTTACAGAGTTATCAAATCTGTCATGGATTTAAGCTAGGTAGGTCAAACCCCTACTGCTGGCAGACTGTCTATTGTGTAGCTTTCGGTTTAACTTTAGTTGTGGTTTACCAAATCAAGGGCAGAAGATTCTATGGGGTACTGAGTCCAGCCATTGAGCACACACTCAATGCGAATTTCATTGTATGGGTATACTGTGTATATACTTACAATGACAATAAAATAAATAAATAAATAATTTCTACACTGAGTTTGCAACGCACTACAAATCACACTCAAATGTTATGCCATTTATATACTTACAATGACAATAAATAAAAAAATAAATAATTTCTACGCTGAGTTTGCAACGCACTACAAATCATGCTCAAATGTTATGCCATTTACGTCACAACGGGCAAGAGGGTTTTGGCCACAGCGTACGTGACCCCTCAGCACAGTGACTGAACAACTAGGGATAATGAAAAAAGTGACACCCCCCCAAGCTTTTGGGAGGAAGGGCAGGATCACAATATATTAACAGATGGGACAGCCAGCAAATAAAAGGTTCCACAGGAGTCACGCTAGAGTTGGTTTGAAAAAATCTTAAAGAAGGTCCAGGAGCAAAGGCATTATATTATTTTATTTAAGAACCTGTTCATGGGGAGGGGGGAATGGTTTCAAACCATGTGGAACCTGCTGCAGAGTTCTGACAATTTAGTTAAATTTACAGAGCAGAATAAGCTTCAAGTTCCCTGGAGAAAGTCCACCCTTTTTTTTCTCATCAACTGGCACTTGTGATCTCAATAACTGGCTCCGAGATGTCTGTAAGAGAAAGAATAAAATCCATTTCCTGTACTCACAGTGAACCGATCAAACAGCAAGCTAAGAACGGGCCTGCTTTCAGCACCACGCCTCCACTGTCTAACAGAGAAGAAAACAGCAGGCGGGAGACGCCGGGACTGGCTGTAAATGCCAAGCAGATGCCTTGCCACTGAGTTCTAACCACAGAACGTGGCCGTGATCGGTGGTCCGTGGCTGGCCACGCTAGTTAGGGGATTCCAAATCCATCACAATTTTTTCAGCGTGTTCCCAGAGAAAGCATCCTTCCTGGCCGTGCAGGGTGACTACTTTCAAAACAGAATAAAATAAATATTTGTCGACACGCTCATTTCATAGCCACTGGGGTACCAGCAAGGCCAAAAGCAAAGGGGACTTGTTCTCATGCATGCGCAGAGGTGTGTGTCTCTTACAGCCTTCCTACCGGAGGGCCGATGAGTTAGGGGTGTGAAGACAATTTGCTCAACCACTCCTTCTTGATCCAATGAGATCAAGGATCTTGTTTTGATTGAATGGCTGCAAGGAGGCAGAGAGTTTAACAAGATCTCTCTCCTCCAGACATTAGAATAAGATGCAACGGCTCCTTTTCCACCCATCCTAAAGCCTGCACAAAGCAGGAGCCTTTTTCCCCCTTTGTGAAGCAACACAGGCATACGCGGCGCTCACAAGAGGGCTGGCGAAGTGACCCGAAAGATACAAGCAACCCATCCGATGCTCCCCCAAAGACAGCCCGGCTCCTGTCTTGCAATCCAAACCAGAACCTTCCTTTCCTGAGTCTAGCCATCCCACGTTCTGTCCTCCTCTTCCCCTACTGCCTTCTCCCCACGCAACCGCCTTTCTCAGGGAACCCCCGTCTCCTAGGAACGTTCCCAAAATACAACCGCCTCTGCCACTTCTGCATTGTGAGAGTTCCCTCTCTAGAGACAAAGTTAACCTCACACCCACTAACTTGCCTTTCTGACAGTCCTTAGTCTCCCTCCGTAAAGCTTCCCTCCGACACCCCATTTAAGACGAGCCCTTCCTCCCCC